GCATATGGTGAGCCTGATTTCAAACCCAGTAGATCTATCTCTGAAGAATAAGATCTTTACCACTACCTAGTACAGCCTTTAATTTACTATCACCAAATAAATCATAAAGTGAAAAGTAAATAGAATCAACCCAATCTTTTGTTGTTTCTCAATCAGTTTGACCTACTTCAAGTAGTATTTTGATTGACCAGATGAGGAGCCCATGTGTGAGTTTGTGTGTGATTGAAGATGACTGACAGATGTTTTACTCACGCAACTGACCTGCAGACCCTGGCAGGTAGCTCCGAGTCTTCTGAAAGCCCCTTGTCCGCTCCCCTGTAGACACAGGTGTAACTTGCCAAGGAAAGCAATGATGAGACAGGTGTACAGCAGTGGGGCTGTCACTCTGTATTGGAGAGCCAGGTCTCCAAAGAAGTAAAGGAAGGGGAAGCTTGCCACAGTCAGTGACAGGCAGGAAGGAGTGGCCCTGAAAACGACCTGAAGCTTAGAGCTGAAACTGTGAGAAGACTCACGTAGTTAATAGCAGCAGCCTCCCATCTGAAGAGCTCATGGCCTTCTTGTGGCTGTAGGGATGCCCCATGTGGCTCCTGTGTTTGGAGAATCCAGGCAGACCCACTGCTAGGATGTTGCTGTCTGTGTTCCATACTCTTGGTCTACAGGACACCAGAAGAGTCTACTGCAGTGCTTCCCAAACTGAAGTGCAGGAAAATCACCTAAGAATCTTTTTAAAAATACAACATCTAACTCAGCAAGTTCAGAATTGTCTGAAATTCTGCATTTCTAACAAGTTTCTGGGTGGTGCTGATGCTGCTGGTCCACGGATCACACTTCAAGCTGAGAGAGTGTGTGGGATACTAGCCTCAGGACAGAGATTTATGTAAGATGTTTCACTACCAAGAACATCTTTTATTTTTTGAAAGTTTATATGACAATGGTAAAATAGCCATTCTTACTGCAAGAAGATGGAATCTCCAATAAGATGGAATAAGATGGAATCTCAGTATCTTTTGATTTGTATTTTTCTAATGGTTAAAGATTCTGAATATTTTTCATGTATTTATTGGCCATTTATATTTCTTCTGCGAAGTGTCTATTCATTTTGCTTGCCTATTTTTTTTTTTATTTTTTTATTTTTTTTTGGTTTTTCTCCGGTACCGGGAACCGAACTCATGACCTTGCGCTTGCCAGGCAGGCGCTTTGCCACTGAGCTAAATCCCCAGCCCCGCTTGCCTATTTTTTGATTAGATATTTTACTCTAGGAGGGTCTAATTTTTCAGTTCTTTATATATTCTAAATATTAGTCCTCTGTCTGAGGCATAGCTAGTAAAAATTTTTAAAAGGATCTGTTAAAGTCTATAATGTGTCAGGGTATGCTGCAGTTTTTAAGAAGGGTCTGTAGATATCAATAGGTAATACAACCACCATTGTTAATTCCCTACCACTTTGTTTGTAACTCTCTATTGTCTGTATTGTGCTTGTGATATGTTGTAAAATGTTGTATGTCTGTTAATGTTTCCCTCCTTTTATCTTTAAAATAAAAAAAAAATTTTTAAAAAAAAAGGGTCTGTAATATGCAGAATTTCCAAAATTTGTGCAAGGAACACTTTTGAGCAGGTTATCTATTAGCATATATATTAGTTAAGATTCAGGTTCAATTTTTAGTAACTAAAAATATCAAATAACAGTGAGATTTTTTCCTTTTCCTGTAAAAGACATCTAGATAGTCTAGGTTTGCCATGGTTCCTAACAGCCTCAGAGGCCCAGGTTCTTTCCATGGTGTCATTCTATCTTCCTCAGTGTTTGGCATCCATATCAATGTCTGTGTGGCAGCTCCACCTTTGGTCATTACAAACCCATAATGCCAACAGGAAGAGGGACAAGCAGGAGAAGGTCATACACATTTTCCTTTTTAATCACAGTACCAAGGAGGTGCACACCCCATTCCTTCACATCATTGTGAGAAGTTCACCACATTTGCAAAGTGCAGGAAAGACTGGACAATGTGCTTCTCATTCTAAGCATTCATAGTTACAACTGAAAATTAAGGGTACTGGTTCCAAGAAAGAGAAAGTGGATAATAGGGAACAATGAACTCTCTCCAACATGGCCTCTTAAAGAACTGGTAAAAATAGTTTGGGAATGATGATCTGATCTGATCCTTTACTTTTGCACAACTTGTTAGATAAGCCAGGACAAACATCTGAGTCTCTTGTTTTCACTCCAGATATTGCTCAATTCATTGATGGTTCTTCAGATGAAATTCTTCCTATCTCTGGTGAAAGAAAGGAGGCCCCAGGGAGCCCTTGTCTTGGCTGCAGAAAGTTGCAGCCCTCTTGGGAGCATGCGGTTGGTGGGTTGCCCAGACCAGCTCTCACTGGACTTGGACAAGTAGTGTGACAAAAAAGGGGCAAAACCACTAGAAAATGAAACTATGGGTCCATTGTTTTGCCCTTGAACACATCTATACCAGTAGGCAGAGGAGAGCATCTGAAGTTATATTAGTCGAGTTATTTTATAGTGAGCCCTGTTTTTATGAAAGAGTCTGTAAATGTCTCACTGCTCCATCCCTACTTCTCTGTCTTTAGATTTTGACAGCCTGCTGTGGGAGGCAGTGAACCTCCTTTTCCCACACTGAACCACCGAGCAAAGTCATTTAGTTCACGCTAAATACGAAAGAAATTGAATAGGAGCTAAAAAGAGGCAAATGAAACATGTATGGACCATCTCCTGTGTGCTTGTATACTAGCATATATATTTATATTTATATATTTGATTCTCATTAGACTCGATAACATAATCTAATAATGAATAAGCCAGGAGTTTCGCCAGGTATCTATGTCTCTAAAATCCATCTCCTTTGATCTGGATGGAAATCAGGAGCCTTCTGCATAGCTTACTTTCTTTGTCTCCTGATCTACCATTTCCCCTACCACATTCTTTCACACACTGACTTTGTGTTCATTGTTTCCCAGTAATTAGTAAATTATAACCTCTGCATCTCAAATTCTTGACATTCATTTGCTGTTTCCCAGTAATTCATTCCATTTGGTATTTGCTTTGAAAAGGAAACCCAAGCACTCACTAATGCTGCATGCACTCACTGGCCTGGACGGGGCTCTTCACCTCATTTATCACATCGGCTGCTGGTCCTGAAGGCTGACAGGCAATTCAGGCTTTCTGAATGCAATTCAGGCATTGATTTTAATCTATAAAGCTTTAGCGTCTGGGCTTTGGCTGCCATGGAAATGAAATAGCTTCTTGGATACTTTTTCACATGCTGCTAACTGTTCCGAAATGTGGGTTCCTCGAGAGATGTTTCTGTACTTGTTCTGATGTAAGAATGTCCAAAAAACATAGATTCTTAACGTTAATGATCACTGTCAATGCAGAAAAAAAATCACAGCCAAAGACAAATACACAGAATATGCTCATATTCATGGCGCTCTTCAATGAATTTATTGATAATATCTGCTCAAAAAGAAGTTTAAAAATGCAGACCACTATGTAGTTAGTTCAGTTAGTTTTAAAACAGGAAATCCCTAAGTCCAAGCAGGACCCTAGATGCCAGGAAGCCAAGGGGGAAAAGCGCAATGTTTACCCTTTCGTGTGTAATCTGATTTTCCTCTCACACACATGAGAAGTCTGTGGCAGAAAAATGATCCTAAACTGTACGCATTGTTGAGGAGGGGTGGTGGGGTTGGGAGTGGATAGGAACTCTGAAAGCTTGGTGCTTCCACTAAAAGTATGGTATCAAGAAATGAGCCATCAAGCCATGAAAAGACACGGGGGAAACAAAGGCCGATTATTAAGTGAGTGCATATTAGTAAGCCAATCTGAAAAGGCCATAGATTCCAACCGTATGACGTCTGCAAAAGGCAAAGCTATGGCGCCAGGAGATACGTGGTTGCCAGGGTTTAAGTGAGAAGAAGGGATGACCACATGGGGCACTGGGGACTTTTAAGGAAGTGAAACTACTCCATATGATATTATTATGATAGATGCCTGCTATGATATACTGGTCTAAATCCATAGAATGTGCAATAGTAATAATGAACCCTAATGTAAACTGTGAACACTGGATGATAAAGATGTGTCAATATAGGTTGATCAGTTGTGACTCTGGTGTTCTGGGATGTTGATAATGGGGGAGGCGATGGATGTGTGAGACCAAGGGGTATATGGGAAAGGAATCTCTGCACCTTCCCCACAAGTTTGCTGTGAACATAAAACTGCTCTAAAAAAATAAAGCCTTGAAAGACTGGGGAGAAAAAAAGAGTGGTGGCAGGCAGTGTGCCCAGGAAATATGACACCACCTTTGTTCCAGTGGGCCACAGAGGCTGGGAAAGCGGGGAGGAGAAGAGAACTGCAAAGGGGATTTAAATGCTCTCCACCACTGTTCTGCTTTCATTCTCTTCACCAGAAGGTTCTGGCTGTCTGCCCTGACTACTCACGTGGCATTCATTCCAAAATGCAATTCCTTGCTTCAGCTTTTTAAATTCCGATGACATTGGCATTAGCAAAGAATGTGACAAAGCAGTTGACATGTTGACATATATCTCTAAAAGGATAGAACTTTAATTTAAAAATAAAAAAGAATGTGTCCAAAAGTAGGAAACCTGAGGAAAAATAAAAATAGGAAAAATGAACCAGAGACATTTTCAAGTAGCAAATGACAGCTGAATCCACTCGTGTAACTCTATTTTCCCATAGAAGAAGACTGTTAGACCATGACTTATAGAGAGAGAGTTGGATGGAGCATGGATTTAATTGGTTCCCTGCTACATAATTCCATATAAAATATTCCATAGCACCTGTAATTTAGAAGGCCAACCCCAGTCTCAACTTCTATGCACAGTGAAGGATTACTTGACTATAAGTTGTCTGGAGTCTCAACCTGTCATTTTTAATTATCCAGTTTAGGTTAGGATGTGAAAACCCCACTAGCACCAAGAACTTCACATTCAGTTGTGTAAGTGTTCCCTTTTTGGCTTTGATTTCAGCAAAGTCAGAATCAACTGGGAGATGTAGCTGACATCAGAAGTCATCAGCGCAGGTACGTGCACACTGGCTTGTTCCCAGAGTACAAGTTACAGCCCTGGGTATGTGAGATCAGAACAGCTGTGTGACTCAGTCACTTCCACCAAGAATCCCTCATAGCAGTTGCTTGGAATGTAAATACTGACTGACTGCTTTTTTTACTTTTCAAATGTGAATTTAAATGTAGCCTTATCTAGGAGTAAGCAACGGGCAGGAAAGGGAAACTTGCTTTATGTTGGGCCTTTCTCAAGCCAGCCTCTTGTAAAACCAATCCCGACAGCTTCAGGGCAGGTGTGGAAACTAGGAATAACATGTTGTGCATGGAAGGAAGAACTAAGCAACCATGAGAACCACTCTCATGACCCTTTGCTCTTAGGGGGCTGAAGTACCTGGCATTCCTGTCACAGGTCCTGCCGAGGCTCAACTCAGCCTCCTCCATAAGGTAAGCAAGGGACACTTGCTTCTGCTCAGTCTGCAGGTGTGCTGCATGCTAAAACTCTCTTAGACTACTTTTATGAAGAGCTTCCTTTAACCTCACCATCTGGAGCACCCACAAGGGTCCTGATGCACCCAGAAGTGAGGAAGTGCTGCACACCCCTGTCCAGCCTTACAACAAGGCTTTCTCTCAAGGCAGCTGCCTCATTGCTGAGAACAACAAAGAGGATATTGAAGATGTTGGTCTCCTCCAAGGAAAGACTTTGCTCTACTTCTCGTGCAGATTATCAGAGATAACAGACACCAACTGGAGCACACAGCAATTTCCCCTTCTTGGAGAATAGCACTGACTCCCAAGGATGTAATCCCAGTGGTCCCCTCTTTGCTAAGTGGCCCTGTTCTTTTCATACCTGACAATTCTGGGGGAGAAGGAATCCAAGACAAATGGATCAATCAGAACCCCACTTTCCTATGTGGGGAGATTACCCACCAATTACCTCTTGGGTAGATAAAAGTGTTACTGCTTCCCCACAGCCAGCTGTTGTCATTTAAAAATGGTTAGAAATTTAAACTGAACACCAACCTAGAGGGTCAGGCTAACCAGATTATTTCTACACAACTAGGACTGCAAGAAGAGGACCATCTTCCCTCTGGAGGAAGAATTCTCAGGACATAAGACCTTGATCTTGTGAGCATTTGTTTTTCACTAAGTTGAAAACGTTGGCCCATACATCAAAGCAGTAATGCTTCTTATCTTCAGAAATGAGAAGCACAAATAGGGAGTCTTGGGGACATTCGAACATCAGGCACAGCTGTGCCTCCTCCCCTTTGTTGGTAATTACATGAGGTGGCCCTTATTCCTCCAGGAATTTTTCTTTCTTGTCTTAGCTACTTAGCGGTGAGTTTTTATCACTTGCAATTGCACACTGGTAAATTTTCTCATCCTGACAGCTGGACTGTCCCATAATTAGATACACTGTCTTGTGTTTTTGGCCTCAAATCATCCATTTGTCTTCTCTTTCTTCAAGGATGCTGCTGAGTCAAGCCTGCTGCGTGGGCCACTCAGGGTTCCAGATTTCTTGAGGACACCACTCCTTTGTGTCCCTAGATTCATTGTGACTTTCTTCTCCTACACCCAAGGCCACAGGTTTACTTTTGTCTGTGAGTGGATTCCAAGTTTCTTGGCTCAGGGCCATCCCATCCTTTTATCACATCCTTTTATTACACCCTTTTCTGTGGTTCCATTGGATTTCTAGCAGATGATGGTGCGAAATTGGTAAATCTGCCCTGTCCTCCCTCTGAGACTGAACTTCCCTGCGCCCAAGAACTTCACTCAGTATCTTTTCTTCTGACTTGCCTTTTCCTCTTTTGGCATTAGAAACAAACCCATAGCCAATTAAAAATGATGTTCTCCTTTTGTGAGTCTGAGAGAGCCATGCTGTAAAGCTTTATTTTAAAATAGTTAACTTTAATTTCAATAGACTTTTAGAGATATTACTTCTAAAGACTATGTATAGAGTCCCTTGACATTCTCAGATTAAATACTTTCCATACAGCAGATATCTGAATTCTCTCCTGTTTGTGAAATTAGTATGAGACAGAACTCATTTTTTTTTTTTTTTTTTTTTTTTTTTTTTTTTTTTTTTTTCTCCGGTAGGGGAACCGAACTCAAGACCTTGCGCTTGCCAGGCAGGCGAGACAGAACTCATTTTCCATAGAAGCTGAAAAGAGCTAATACTCACTCTTCCGGTCTTGTTTGCTGCTAAGGATGAGGCATCAAGAATAGGCTTGGCCAACAGATGTACACAGAGGCTAATCAGGCATGGGTTGTCCGTCAGTCAGTGGCAGCAAAGGCAGCAGAATGGCAGCAGCAACAACCAGTGCATGGGGAAGTCACAGCCGTGGTACCACTATGAGATCCACTCCTGTGCCAGGAGAGCAGTGTCCAAATCAGAGACTACTTGTGGCACTGACCTTGACCATGATCTGGCTGCTCAGCCTCACTTTGTGCCAACTCATTTTCTATGCCTGGTTCTCTCCTCTCCTCCAAATTCTGTAATGGCCCAGTGTCCTTTCAATGCTTCCTTTCTTCATACCTCGACCACTTCCAGCCAGAAAGCATGAATGATGCTCATTGCTAGAGTTCATGATGTGCAGTCATTTTTTTTCTTGCAGCACAAACTAGGGATATATAATTGAAAGGCTGACATGTAAGAGCTTGTGGCTTCACTACAGAGTGAGTAGGGCATATGTCCAGTCTCACAACTCAACACAACGTTAGTTTCTCCTTGATAAAAGACAGTTTTTTTCTTTCTCCTGAATGTGTAGGAAAACTGAAGCTGTGACAGAAGTAAGAAAAGTACAGAGAAAAAAAGAGATGGTTCTTACCCAGAAAAATATGTTTTATAAATATGCAAGTTCTATGCATAAAAAAATCGCCAAAGATAGAATCACTTCAGTGTACTTCTCACATCTTATCAGAACAATGATATTCGGTAGGATTGTGTGGCTATCTGGTTTACCAACTAAACCAGAATGAAGGTGAAAGGATATGCTGTTATTTGGAATGCTGAGGTAACGGACAGGACGATTACCCTAAGTATTACAGTAGAGATTTGGGGATTCTGGGCCTTGGGGTCTCTCCAGCACTGCAATCATGTCGCTCAGCTACATTCTATCTTTTCCCCTTCAGGACCAAAGCTGGAGACTGACAAGTATCAACATGCCTGGCCTTTGCCCACCCCTCCCGATTCATGCAACTGGCAATCCATTCTACATTTGCACACATTCCTACAGAGGCAATTTCCATAGCAACAGTAGAACTATATAAAAAAAGGCACCTGAACTATGCTTTAAAGATAAATCATCCTCTTTAAGGAGTCTTCCACTCAAAGGAATCACAGGCTATTGCCATTTAGAATTTCTTAGCTCTTTGTCACATATTTCCATATGTACATTTCTAATCCTAATTCACTGATTTCTTTTTCAGTTTAATTAATTGCAAACATTTTAAACTTCCCTTTTTAGTTCTCCTTGATGGAGAGCCATGGTTCAGAAGCATTTTAATTGGGGGCTGGGGATTTAGCTCAGCGGCACAGCGCCTGCCCGGCAAGCACAAGGTCATGAGTTCAATCTCTGGTACCGGAAAAAAAAAACAAAAAAACAGCAACAAAAAAAAAGTATTTTAATCAACCAAAAAGGGAGGAAGAAAGAATCATTACACATTTTAGTGCCTTCCATGCACACAGCTATTTACCTATTATAGTTCATTTTCAGATACCCAGACAGAACAAGGCCACCTCTGCAGCTCAGGCTGAGCCTTGCACAAAATTGGCAAATTTTATGCGCAGCATCCTAATCCTGTGTTTCTTCACCAACGGAGCCAAAGAAAAGGAAGGGATTACACAGAGGGTCTGCACAGGGGAGACTGAGAAGGACAGTGGGAGAGCAGGAAACCCAGGGTTCAGGCACTAGGGCATCTATTTCTAAATTATTCATCCCATTAGAGTAGAGGGAAAAAAGTAGCAAAGACTGTTATTGATTCATTTTCTTATCTGAGGAGAATGATGTTCTGTAAGCAAGATACAAAATAGTTGGTGTTTGCTTCCTTGAATCCTGCTTGTCAGCCCCAATGAAGTCTCTCGTTTTTAATTTGAAGACATTTGTATGCAATGGTATACTTTTAAACAAAATATTAGTCATGTTTTAACTCCCTACAAGAATCTTTCAATTTTCCTGAGGCTGTTTCACCACTCCCTCTACTTCTACACTTTAGAGACAATATAGAAAAGCCTTGGCCATCTTGTATTTGGAAATTCAATTCATTCATCACTCATTTGTTTACTCACTCACACTAGAAGCATTCACTGGTCTCCTCCTCTGAGCCAGTCACGGTGAGGTAGGCTGAGAAATGGGCATGGGCATGGGCCTTATTCGCTTAGATCTTGCCATTAATAGAAAACACATCTGTTTATCATAATTGCAAACTGTGATAAGGGTTTTGGAGGGAAAGTACATGGTAATGTTTGAAGGATTAGGAAGTGGCTCTGCCTTCCATGGCATTCCATCATGAAGATCTATCTGTCTGAAGAATGAACAAGTCAACACATAAATCATCCAATCTATAAACTGAGTAAGTTAGATTAGATGGTTTTCCTCCAAACAGGCATGGAATCTGTATTCTGAAAAAGTTTCAGGGAATAAATGGTGAGTAAAGAAATAATTTAGGAACAGTGAACACTGATGAGCAAACTGGTCAGATAGCTCCAGAAACCGTATTTGCAGTAGGAAAGTACCACGTTCCACAGAGGGAATAAGAAGGACACAGACTGAGGGGCTGAGAGCACAGGAAACAACTGTTCTGAAGAGAGCCTTACCACACATGGCACACACCTAGAGAAAGGATGGCTGCAGGATACTGGCAGTGATCTTAAATTCATTTGTCATTAATACTCAAGCTATTCTAAGCTAATTTTCAATAACTTCATGACTAATAACAGACACAGGTGTTTGGCACTCTTCCTGAAACCAAAATGGCATCTTTGTTTTATTAGAGGTTTTCCAGATGGCGGTGTTGGATTCTGCCAGCTACACCAGATGGGAAGGGTTCCTCTACCTGAACTGAATCTGCACATTCCTCCAGCTGTTCTCTGCCAGTCCGAGCTCCTGAATGAGATAACACAAGGACTGGCTGAGTTAAATGAACATTCTTTATTCCTGGTTATGACATTATATCTGACTATAATTTATATTTACATCTGGTTATACACTTAATCCCTTTATGCTCCCTTACCTCAGTGAATTAGATCAAACAACACATAAATCCAGTCTCTTCTTCATTTTCCTTCATCTTAACCTGAAGCCTAGAACAGAACACAGTATGAGATTATGAACTGGTCCTGCCTATTCCTCTAGATAAAATGGCTCCCCCCAAAAAAGTCCATCAATCATTCAACTATAAGGCTCCTTCTGTCCTTTCAGGAAATTTGTCATCTATTGATAGAGCCA